AATGACCCGTCTAAACCTTCCGCACGCTTTCCTAGTCTCTCAGCTCTTCCCGCTTCAGCTATCAAAGATATAGTTTCATAATTCAGCACCACTCCATTCCTCCATCCAACCCCCCACCACCCCGCACTTCATATTTCCTTAAAATTTATCAGCACCACATTAATTCTTAATTTTACTTCTTTCCACTTATGTCCTAGGTAAAAGGCATTTTTACCTTTCAGCAAAGTTTAATCTCTCTACTTTGGATCATATTTTCTCCTATTATTTGTTTTCTTTAGTGTTTCTCTTTCATTCTTCTAACTATAAGTGTCTTTTCTATTGATTCCTAAACATGTTACAACCTCTTTTTCGTTGATCTTTCTTGTTCCAAAATCTCTCTTTCTAGGTAGTCCTTGATCACTCTCTTTTCTTTTTCAGACTCATTTCTGTACATTTTGAACATTGTTTTCCCCTTTTGAATAATTCTTTAAGCTGTATAATTTGAGAATGACCACTCTCCTCCGCTTCACTGAAACTCTACTCCCTTGGTTTCTTTAAAACGAATTTCTTTGGACTAACTTTTGCCTCTCCCCCTTTCTTGCATTAGCATCTCCCTATTTAAAACAAAACAAGTACAAACAAACATATAAAATCAGGCTCTATCTTTATACTTTACAAGTGTATGTTCCTCAATATTCCTTTCTTTAGTTTATGACTCTACATGCTGTCTTATTTTGTTCTTTAAACTTTTCAACTCTACCCCCACACCCATACTGCTGACTTTCAGAGCTGTATCTCCAACTATAATAATAGTCCTAAATTACAGATCAATATATATAACTACTAAGTGTGACAGTATACCTGGATGACCCCCAGATAATTCAAGCTTAACATGACCAAACAGAATCACATCTACCTTCCAATGGTTTCAGTAAAACAATAACAAAAGCAGCAACCTCAACAAAACAAGCAAAGAAAATGTTTCTCACATATGTTCTATCAGTAAATATCCACAATGGCCAATTACTTATTGTCCCTTACTTTCCACATTTAATAACCAATTTTGTCCACCTTACTTCTTAAATATCCTTTTTTTACTGTCCATACTTCAAGAATTTTTTTACTATTTAGATTTTTTTGTTGCTTCTTCTCTGCTTATTCACCACAATTTCCTTGTCTATGTTCCCCTTTTCTGATTTTCTCTTTGTAATATGACTTATTATTATTTTTTTTGGTAACATCCACCCCCTGTTGGAAAATAAATCTTTAACACGGTGTCCAAGTACTGACTCTCATATTCCTATTTTCCTATGTGGTGTCATTTTATACCCCCACTCTTTTCTAAATTCTCATTTTGATTGTATTTAACATTAATTTCCCTGAACTCTTTATGCATTCTCAATATCAATTTCCTGTTTCCCATGAAGATGTCGTTTTTGCGGTCAAATTCTTTCTACAGGATAAAACTCTCACAAAATATGGAGTGGACCCTGCACGAATCTATATTTCAGGTGATAGTTCTGGGAGTGCTTTGACAGCAATTGTGACTCAACAGATGTGTTTTATGTGTTATATATGTTTATAATACACACACTATAATTCTAACACAGAATAATTTTATTTCAGTTACAATTTTAACTTGTCTTATATTTTAAACTGTAAAATGGTGAAAATAAAAAAGACAACCTTTTTTTTTTTAAATATTACCTTTTGACAGATGTGGCTTTAGAGGCACTGAGGGGAGATTAAAAATATAATGCTAAGGCTGTTATTTAGTCACCAATTTTAAGAAAAGTAAAATAATATGTAGGAACTACTATTTAATATGACAAGGACTTTGTTTTCCTCCTTAGGTGAATTATAAAGCCTACCAAGCACTTGAGATCACTGTAATCCATGTTTTAAATCCAGTAGAGTGTCATCAGATAACACTTGGGACACATGTCATACTTGTATGGAAGAATCACTACTGTAAGAAAAAAGAAAAATGGCTTTATGTTAAAACCCTTGCTAGTGCAGTTAAATAATAACTGTTCAAATAATTAATATTTGAAAAATTAATTTAGTCTAATATATCAGGAGTCCCCAACCCCAGGCCATGGACCGGTACTAGTCCATGGTATTAGGGACTGGGTCACATAGCAAGAGGTGAGCGATAGGTGAGCGAGTGAAGCTTCATCTGTATCTGCAGCAGCTGCCCAGCATTAGCATCATGGCCTCAGCTCCACTTTAGATCATCAGGCATTAGATTCTCATAGGAGCACCAGTCCCTGGTGCCAAAAAGTTTGGGGACTGCTGCAATACATAATTCCTATTTCCAAAACCATTTTTAAATAGAACAAAAATAGCCTAAGTGGGGGAATGCATACCTTTAGAACCAGCAGAAGCTGCTAACTCTTCTTGTGGAATCACTTCTGCTACCAGCCTGAGAAGAAATGGGTTGGATCTCTCTGTCTCATTTTTTTTATGTTGTCACATTTGTTTCTTCCATTCAGCTTATGAGATGATCCAGGTTATTAAGCAAATAATTATCTATTTGGGGGCACTGGGGAGGGATTTTCTCATTTTCCTTTTGAAGTTGTGGCACCTACTTGAGTGTGACTTTTGGGATTGGCCGAGAATCTTTCTTCTTATTAAGTGCTGCTAGGATTTCAATTGATTCTCTTCATTTGATATATTAGCTACTTTAGTGAGGAGTTTACTTTAAGAAATAGCCTCCAGATACTGAGACTTTCATGTGGAGTGGGAACAGGTATATCCATTTGTCCAGATGTCATTGTTATGGAGGCTGCTCTGTATCTCCTGGGAGATTAATTGTAGGTTCTCTCTTATAGTGTGTAAGACTAAAAGAAAAAGATATGTATGGTGACTCTTCTCACCCTATAGCTGAGACTTTAGGATGCCTCTTATCTCTGATAAGAAAGAAAAGCTCCAAATATGGTGTTCCATGTCTGTTCCTGCCCTTTAAATTTTCGTAAATTACTCTGCTTCTTTCCTATCATACTACACTATTTTCTCCAAAAGGTGAGCTCTATATTAGTAATAGTTCCTATAACTTGGTTCAATTCCTTTTGAATTTAGTTAATATGTAAGTTTGGGCATTGATATTTTATTATATTCATTCTTTCTTCTCATTTAGGTTACTTTAGGTAAAAATTGTTTTTAAACATAGATAGCTTGTCATCTTCCCTAGGAATCTCATATTTTTATTTGGTGGTCATATGTGAATAAACATGTGTGAATATTTATTATGTGAATAAACATGTGTATATGCATGTGTATTGTAACTTTACCGATGAGAGTGAGATGACACATTTTAATGCTCCTAAAATAAAGTATAAATATTATTAAAATAATCTTTAGTTACTGTATCAGTTTTATAACAATTTATATTATAATTGCTCATATGATTGGAATAAATTCTCTCACTCTTATAGAATGAGTCTTTGACACATTCATATTTTATTTTTTTCAGCTACAAATGATACAGAATTTAACAATAAAATTAAGGCACAAGCTTTACTTTACCTTGGCTTACATATAGTTGATTTCTTCATGCCATCTCACCAAGAATATGAACATGGTCTGGTTCTGTCAAGGGAAATGGCAATTAAAATTGAATACCCCAAGCAATAATAAAAAAACAACATATGCTTCATGAATCAAGACATCTGTTCAAGTAGGTTAGCTGGAGTACTCTCCTTCCCAAGAAATATAGATAAAAACATATATGTACTGAACCAATTCTTGGGAGACTTAACTCTTCATATCCAGCACTTTTGGATACTAGGTTATCACCCTTGGCAGTCAATGATTCCCAGTTACAAAATTTGCCATTAACTTATATCCTCACCTGTCAATATGATATCCTAAGAGATGATGGACTTATGACGGCTTCAAAATGTTGACGTTAAAGTTACACATGACCATATAGAAGATGGAATCCATGGATCAATATCATTCATGACATTACCAATTTTTTTATGTCTAGGCATTAGAATAAAAGATAAGTATATTAGTTGGCTAGAAGAAAATCTATAAATAGCACATGTAGCTAGCTAATTATTTAGTTAGTATTGTAATCTAAATATTGTATTTTGAAGTTTGTGAGTATAAGGGACAGAACTCAGTTTTGGATAAACCTAAGTTTAAATCAAGGTAGGTTATTTTGTGTCTTTGAACAAGTTACTTTATTTTCCTAATCTTAGATCTTGCTAAAATGAAGACATCTGCTGTGTTAATCTCATTAAATGCCATTTATTCTGCTTGCTAAATTCTAAATATACACCAATAATAGTAACGTACAAAAAGTAAGTATGATTATAGGCAAAACAGGCATGATAGTTTCCAAGCAGTGATAGAAATGGTAGTAGCGAGTGAGGAGAAATTTTAATAAAGGAAAATTCCAATGCCATTTATATGGGGCGGGGCACTATATTATACTGAAGCCTTTTTCTTTCAATTAATGGGCCAGACATTAATTGTATCCACTCAATGTAAATTCTGTTAGTTAATTATTTTTATTCATTTAATACAAACAAAATCTGCTAGCTTTTTTTTTTTTTGCTTACAGAAAGTAAAAGTTAACATCTTGACTAAATCCTTTCAAAAGCCTAAATATTTGACTCTTACTCAAACTTTTAGAAACATCAACCCTGAAGGTAGATGAAGTTACTGCATTGATTGCTGTATACTGATTATTAATTCAAGTTCCCTAGCCAATTGTACATGGAAGTCAGAATTATTTTTTTTATTACTCTGAATTTCTAGAGTGAATCATTTACCCTGACCAGGACTGCATAACTAGCAAGATATTTATGCATTAGGCCTATTGGCTTCCTTGCGATGATGGGGCCCACACTCATGTTAGTCTATATGAATCTCACAACTAAAATGCACTCCCATTAGTGGACATCGTAAGCAGCATCTAATTTTCTGAGGTTGCTGTGATGCTGCTCTTTGCATGGTGTTGTTTTCCCTGTTCTGTGTCTTTTCTTAATGCTGAGTAAATGTGGGGCTGTGTAAGTCTAATTATATCTTGTGAGTTTGATTGGTAATCCAATTTCAAAACACATTTTTTTGGTTGGCAGCTTGATTACTTGCTTTTTGGGTCATTTCAACATATAATCTGTCTACTAATCTTTCAGCACATTTTACCATATTAGGCTCTTCTCTGAAATTCAAATGCTGAGCTATTATTACCTCAACTCTAGAAAGTATTGATTAACATGTTATCTTTTCTATTAGTTGTTGCATCATGTATGTGAAGCTGTAATATCCTATGCAATGATCATCTAGCTGTTTGATTTATAAAAGAGAGAGACAATGATGTCAGCATCATGGCAGAGTGAAAAGACCTTGTTGTTTCTCTTTTTAAAGTTATAAGTCAGACAACCATAATTCCACAAAAGATACCCTGCTTAACACACAAACATGTCTGAAAGATCCACAATTTGAGACTCTGAAAGTGGGCATATTTGAATGCACAGGGGATTCAGAACTGAGGAGAAGAATAGCGATGGGTGCTAAAGATGCAGTCTGGTGCTCTTGGAGGCCCCAGATGACTGACCCAGTAGTGATGGAGGTGTCAGATTGCAGCCCACACTCTGTAGTCCAGAGGACTGGAGGGGAAGAAGCAACATTCCAGCCTGAGTGGCTGGTGCCCATTGCAGCTAAACCCAGTAACAAGGAGAGAGACACAGCATAGAGCTATGGCAGCCACAGTCTGACAGCTGCCATTACTAGAAAATGACCAAAACTGCGGCATGAATCCATCCACTGCTGTGGAACCCAATAGAGTCAGCTGGGACACCTCAGGTAGCAGTGAATATGACAGCCTCTGGTTACAAGGAGGCAGTGATGGTAACTCACAGTCCTGGGTCCCCATTGCTGACCACATCCCACCCATGGGGGTGGTACCCTGAGACCAAGGTGACTTGGTCACAGAGGAGATGTCTACCTCTTTAGGGTATACAGGGCATTAGCCACACCCTACTGAGACCTGGAAGTCCCAGTAGTTCAGGTAAGAGAAAATGAAAACTCGCTCACTACCACCATCTACTGGAAAATAAAAAGCCTCTACTTATCAACCTGCTAAATTCTTAAAAGCAAAACAGTACCTAAAAAAGCAATTCAATAGCTCAAATGCCCAGGCAGAGAAACAATCTATCAAGTACCATGAATAACCAAGAAAATAAGGTAGCTCAGAAAGAAAATGAAAAGTCTCTAGACATCAAACTCAAAGACATGGAAAACTGTTTTAAATGAGAGAATTCAAGAGAGCAGTTTTTTAAAAACTTCAATGAGATACAAGAAAACTCAGAAAGGCAGTTCAATGAGCTCAGGAATAAAATTAATAAACAAAAGAAATACTTCCCCAAAGAGATTGAAATTATATGCGTGTGTGTGTGTGTGTGTGTGTGTGTGCGCGCGCGTGCGCACGCACGCATATATGAATTCAATAAGAATTCATTTATTGAATTCTTCTGGAGCTGAAGAATTCAATAAGTGAAATGAAGAATGAGTCAGAGAGCATGGAAAACAGAGTAGACTGGAGGAGGAGAAAATTAGTGAACTTGAAGATAGAAATCCAGAAATAACTCCAATGGAAGAAGAGAGAGAACTGGGAGTGGAAAAAATAAATAAATAAATGAAAGAACTCTATGAGAACTATCTGGCTCCATTCGAAGGAACAATATAAAAGTAAAATGAGTGTACCAGAAGAAGAAAAGGAGAAGGAAACAGAGAGTTTATTCAAACACATAATCAATGAGAGCTTCCCAAACCTAAAGAAAGAGGTGGACCCTTGAATTTAACAGAACACTTAATTATCTCAATGCAAAAAGACTTTCTCCAAGACACACTTTATTAAAACTGTCAAAAGTTAATGACAAAGAGAATTCTCAAGGCAGTCAGAGAAAAAAAAGACTGCAACTTATAAAGGAAACCCATCAGATTATCATTGGATTTTTAAGCAGAAACCCTACAAGCCAGGAAAGATTGAAATCAAGTTATTCAAAATATTGAAAAAGAGAAATCATCAGCCAAGAATAATATATCCAACAAAGTTGTCCTTTAGTTACAAAGAAGAAATAAAGGTCTTTCCAGACAAACAAAAACTGAGAGAATTTACCACCATAAGACCTGCATTACAAGAAATTTTGAAAGCAGCTTTTCTACCTGAAACAAAAAGTCAAAAGAATACAAAACTGTAAGAAGACAAACAGAAGCAGAAAATTGAAACTTTATTTCAGAATAAGGTATTAAACAATTATAACATAAAGATTAAAGGAAAGGAGAAGTATTTTTTTAAAAAGACCATCAGAAGTGACTACAGCAGTGTGGCAGCATGACAGGAACTTCCATGTCTCTCCCCTTGAAGTTACAAGTTAGTCAGCTATAATTTAACAAAGGATTCCCTGCTCGACATACAAACAAGTCTGAGAGGTCCGTGCATTGGGACATCTGAAAGTGGGCATATCAGAGCAAGCAGGGGAGATGGGTTGGGGGCAAGAACAGAGGTATAAGTCATGTGTAGTTTAGTCTGGAACTCCCTGTGGCCCTAGCTGATATGATAGCAGTGAAGCAGCAGGGCGCAATCCTCCACTGGGCAAATAGGAGGGCCAGAGATAGCAATCAGGCCTGGGTTGCCCATGCATATTGAGTCTGGGCCCAGGGTAGGGACAGTGAAGTGGTACAAAGGTTCCAGTATTCTGCAGGCCACCATCATCAGACAAAGGGTCCAACAGACACAGGAACCTGCCCACTCCATCCCACTGTGGCCCACCCAGCAATAAAACCATCACTTATCAGATTGTGAAAGGGCTGATAAAAACTTTCCAGCCTACGCATCTGTACTCATTGTGGTTAAAACAACTGTAGAGAACAGAGTTGTAGTTACATGAACTCGCTTCTTCTGCTCTATCTCTCCCCTACCCATCCCAGCAAAACCTGGTAGAAGCAGCTGGGTGAACTCAGAGAGAATAGCTCTGCCACTGGATTCTGGCTATACGAAGGCAAGGCTGGGGAGCACACAGGCCAGAAGACCTATAGCCCACCACTTCCAAATCATGGAAGCAGTGCCTTGAGAACCAAAGTAATTGGGTTGTAAAGGAAATGCCCATTTCCTCAAGGAATATGGGGCATTTTTCATGGCAGAGGCAACACTGGCGTACAGATACGATAAATACCAGTAGTGCAGGTAAGAGAAAATAAAAACTTGTGTTTCAGTATCACCTACTGGAAAACAAAAGAAAGACTTCTATTTATCAACCTAACAGTGGAGTACCAAATACTTTTTAAAAAAATATTTATTGTGCCTGATAGATTATTTCTCTGCCTTGGCATTTGTGGAAACGATTTTTTTAAAAAAGTATTTGACACTCTACTGTTAGGTTGAGAAATAGAAGTCTTTCTTTTGTTTTCCAGTAGGTGGTGCTGAAGCACAAGTTTTTAAATGCCCAGGCAGAAAATAAGCATAATGAATAACCAAGGTAAGAAGGTCCCTCAGAAAGAAATTAAGAAGCTCCAGATAATAAACTTAAAATAGAGAAGACTGTGATTTAAATGACAGATAATTCAAGTTCTGAAAAAAACTCAACGAGATGCAAGAAAACTTTAAAAAGCAATTCAACAAGCTCAGAAATAAAATCAACATACAAAACAATTCCTTTTAAGAGATTAAAAATACTTTTTAAGAAAACAGAAATTCTAAGCTGAAGAACTCAATACATGAGGTGAAAAATGAACTACTGAGCTTAGAAAAGAAAATAGACCAAATGCAGGAAAAAACAGAGATATAGAAAATAAAAATTTAGAAATGACTCAGGGGGAAGAAGAGAGAGAACTGAGAGTTTTAAAAAATGAAAGAACTCTATATAAACTATTTGACTCCATTAGAAAAAGTAATATAAGAACAATGGGTTTACTAGAATAAGAAGAGTGGGAGAAGGAAACAGCTTATTCAAACAAATAATGTGAACTTCTCAAACATAAGGAAGGAACTGGACCCTCAAATCTGAGAAACTAACAGAACACCTAAT